AAAAGCATGGTCGCGATGTAACATTTTCCAGCTAACCAATTATTCCTCTAATAAACAAAGCTTTTATACCACACTTGTCATAATCAGAGCTTATACTTTGTATATAAATAATTACTGGATTCAAAACAGCAATTAAAAGGAGCTGTGACCAACACTGACTATACGTTTTCCCGGAGCATTCAATGTCACTAAACGGTGATGCCACAACTAAGAGCATCGTTCACAGGTTTCTGCATGGACCTAACTAGCCTAGGGCACAGGTTTTCAGCGTCTCGGCGCTCCATAAACAAGTGTTTTTATGTTTCAGCTGTTCGATCGCGCCGGCACCTCGCGTGCACACACCCCACATATTCTAGCAATTCAAACTTACATCGCAGTCTGTTCATTATCAAAATAAAATACAGTCAACCAAACATATAAAAGGTTACACTGGTCAGTTTAAATATACCGGTCCACTCTGCTATACCAAGGACGTTTTTGCTCATGTGAAGAGGATTATCTTTTCCGTCTATATGCGAATGCGTGTAAAGTACAAGCCTAGTTTACATTATAAATAATAGTTTAACATTCAAATACATTGCGGATATGGAAACATTTGGATTTGTGCCGAATGAGATGTGAGTAATAACCTCCAAATGCATCTAGCCAAACCCGCGCTCGCTCCGTCTGTCACGAACTAATGCACTGTAAATGCCGGATTTTTAAAAACAAATAGGCCTACCGCAAAACAAAAATTTAAAATCTGACATTTTCCGGAACAGGATCCAGCTGCAGCAGGATCAAATTAAGTACTGGTCATAATACTCGCATACAAATGTTTGATGTGAGCAACAGTGTGTTTTGCTAGAGCAGCGCCGATGGAAGCGGTTCACTGACTGCGCAGCACAGCCACACGCGCCACAGTTACGTTTGGGATCATTTTATTTTAAATGCCATAATGTCAGTTGAAAACATTGCAATAGTGTTTTAAAATACAACAACGAGCACCACGAAACCATTTAAAGAGGCGCGTTCAGCGGTCTCAGTGTCGGGATAGGAAACAAAGTAAAATGATCTCAAACGTACGGCGCGCTCTCTTCATTTGATCAAATGATCATAATCACATCTATTCATTTTACAATCCTGCTACTAGCATTTTATTCAGACTAAATCCCCTTTAAATCGGGTGAGAAAGCGGGGTTTTCTTTTTGAGTAACTTTTGCACATCCTGTCATGCCGGGCTGCATAGACGCATTTAGGTTAACGATTAATTGATTGTTAATTTAAACGACGATCGATCATGGGAATTATCGAAAATTGACATCCCTAGTATCAACAAAATGTATCTTTGCAATGCAGAGGAAACACAGAAGCTGCATCGGAAGTGGCCTTATATTAATCATAAAACGTTGAATAGATACTTTAAATGTGAAATTAAAACCGCCAGCAGTAAGTCACTGTTAATAAGCGAGTCATTGCGATTGAACAGAATCATTTAAACGGTTGATTCATTCAGGAACGAAACACTGTCATGTTCCTCAGAGATGCAAAACAGTGTTGTGGCTGTGTTTGGAATTATTTTGTGGTCGAAATAGCACAAAAACAGGAAATATGGTGTCTAAAACGTAAGTCTCTTAATTAACTTCTTGTTTATTGAACTGTTGTAAAAAAATCAATATCACATTTGTAATCATGGTCATTTTTGGAGAAAAAAAACAGCACTCTTTGTGTGAAATTGATTAACTATATGAAGTGGTATAAATATATACATTTTCTGCCCCATGTATTGAATTTATGATCATTCTAAATGTATTTTAATAGACTGAATTATGCAGTGAAAAAACACTCTAAATGTGCACGCGCATTAGTCTAGACTTCATCATGTAATGTATGTGTGCACTCTGTAGGTGTGTTTTGTTTGGTTTTTGCAACATACTCGATAATGTCAAATCACACATCGTTAAAACAACAATTATGATATCGCAGACAATATATCGCACACCCCTAGTTCTAAAGCCACTTATACTCTACTGTTCAAAAGTTTAGGGTCAGTAAGAGTTTCTTTTTTATTATTACATATAAAATAATTACATATTAAAATAATTTTCCGAAGGATCATGTGACACCAAAGACTGGAATCATGGCTGCTGAAAATTTAGCTGTCATCAAACGAGTAAATTACTAATTGTAAACTATATTAAAATAAAATAAAAAAGTATTTTAAATTGTATTTCTTCATAACATTGCCGTTTTCTTGTATTTTTAATTAAATAAATGCAGTCTTGGAGAAAACAAAGAAAAAAAAAATCTTACTAACCCCAAAACTTTCCAATGATGATAATAGAGACAATATTGTCATATTAAATAGTCAATTTAATCTCCAATTTTTGATTGATTTCCTTTCTAACCTACTGCCAAACTGTACTTTTATCTCCTCTACCATGATTATTGTCTTATAAATGCTAGTACCTTGAAAAGACAGAAGCGACGAGGATTGAACTTGTCTTTGCCCTTTCGGTCCTCAAGAGACAGGAACTCAATAAGCTGTTTGATGAACATGGGGTCTGTGAAATGGTCACAGATGATGCGCTCCCTCTGTAAGAAAATCATGCTTAGTATACATACTGTCAAGTTTGGCAGTAAAACAAAGTCTAGCACACTCAGTCCATGTATACCTCATTCATGTTCTCAGCGGAAAGATCCTTGGGCTGCTCTGCTGCTGGGGCATATACCATCAACTTCCTATAAACAGAGAAATGCAGAGAGTGAGAAAAATAGCTGGAAGCAGAGATTTGGAGTGTATCATACAGTGATCAGAGGCTGAGAGTGTTTACTTTGGCCAGCAGTAGTAGCCCCAGTGTGTCTTCTCTATAAAGCAGAAATGGTCCCAGTCCTGCTGGGTGCTCGGCAGGCTGTCACCGTGGTACTGCAGCCAGTCATTCCCCGGCCTGTCTCCTGCCACCAGCCCCTCTGGCTCGGTTACCCCACCTGCAAGGCACCACATGTGTAATTATCTCCGTCCACAGATACTGAGATCTTACAGATGGACCAACAGATGGATGTGAAGAGTAATTTAATCATCTCTTCATTTAATTGTACTATTTATTTGTTTGTACGCTGTTGTTTACTCACTTATATCACAGGGACTAACAGGTATTTTCTTGCGCTCTCTCTTCAGCTGTTTCAGTATGCCTGCTATAGCGGCGATCGCCATCTATATCAGCAATTATTGGAAGCAAAACAATAATATACACAATGTTTTTTTTAAACATGTAACAGACTAAGTGCATATACACTACTGTTTGAGTCAGCAAGGAAGCATTCAATTAATTAAAATTGACAGTGAAGACATTTATAATTTCAAAAAAGATTTCTATTATAAATAAATGCTGATCTTCTGAACATTGTATTCATCAAAGAATGCTAAAAAAAATGTACCACACTTTCCGCAAAAATATTAAGCAGGAAAAAACATTTTCAACATTGATAACAAATGTTTCTTGTGCACCAAGTTAGCATATTCTACATTTCTAAAGGTTAATGTGACACTGAAGACTGGAAAAATGAATGTTGAAAATGTATCTTTTTGCATTGCATTTTAAAATAGATCAAAATTTAAAATAGAACAATATGTCATTTTAAATCGTAATAATTACTTCATTATATATTGCACAATAATACTGCTTTTCTATATTTTGATCACATAAATGCTGCCTTTGGGAGTATAACCTCTTTTAAAACGTTAAAACTAAATCTTGTTGACCACAAAATAATGAACAGATTTTAGACCTAAACCTAATCCAAATTTAACATCTAAATAGATACTTCTAGGTAAGTGTACTGGAGCAGGCTGGTGCTAAACCCCAGCAAATCCTGATACAGATTTATGCAAAGCTAACAAAAACAGCATTCCACGAACCTTGCGAACAACAAGTGCATCATGGTTGAGGCTCTGTACAAAGAAGAGCACTGCTGGGGCCGGGAGGGGATAGTCATCTCTTAGCAGTAGAGACAGGAAGCCAATAGCAATGTGCTCAAACTTCCAAGGCCTGATGACACACAACAACATATTCACAAATTAAGTGATGCTTTTATGTGTCCAGTTTTATAGAAACAATGTAGCACTTTTAAACATCTGTTTGATACTTACAGGTCCCTGTCATCTAGGCATTCCAACAGGTCTCTGACAATCTTTTCATATTTCCTAAAAGAGGAATGACAGCGAAGATTTACTACACCATGTTATACGAGTATAAAATGTTGTGATTGTGTATATGTGTAGCACTTACTGCACTGCATCCTGGTTTTTGTCTTGTTGAAGCGCCAGCCCCTGCTCCAGCTCCTGTTCTGTGGGAGTGCCAATGTGTGGAGAGGGCTGGCTTGAATCGGTGATGCGCTGGCCCAGCAAAACTGCACTCTCAGGTACCTACAGATTCATCCAGGGAAACATGAGTCTTACAGCACAAGGTAGATGCTATTTTCCACCTAAGGGTATGTTCACAAGACAATGATATGCTAAAAACTAAAATTCATTCGTTTTGAAAAATTTGCATTCAATTCTCTTTCACGCGGATCCACAATAACGAGAGAAACGCTATATTATGCATGCCAGGCCACTAGTTGGCGATGTCCCTTTGTAAAGAAACACATAATATGCATATCCAAGACGTCACGGTTTTCTCAAATTCACGTTTTTGTAATTTACACAGAGATGATGACATAACGTTTTAAAAAACTTGCACTTTAAAGCCCGTTTTCAAAAGTTAGCATTTTCAGGCACCCAAAACGCCGCTGTCATGTAAATTAATGGCCAAAATGTATAAAAACTTTTCCATTTTTATTTGAAAATGGTGTCATGTAAACGCCCATTAAAGGTGCGGCCACACTAGCCAAATTTCTGCAAAATGTTGCTGTCAGAAAAAGTCAACAATTTAGCGATGTATGAAGTACAGCTTGCACAAAAATCACTTTTAAATCAAGCAGCTTTCTATTGGATAATGCACCAAATCCATTGAACAATTTGAACTTGTGGGGAAATCTTTATGACAAAATCCAGAATATCTGGATTCCTATTAAAATTACTGGATTTCTCTTGTGAATAGTCACCAAACTGATAAATGTATCCACACTTTAACAGTCTGAATGACACACCACATTATGCCAAAGTTTATGTACAAAATGTAGAAAACAGGCGACGCTGCTTACTGTGAAATCGATGCCGATGGTCTCGTACTGCCGGTGGACTTTGTCTGCGAGGTCATCGAACAGTCTGACAATGGAGGGCTTCTCTAGAGACATAGCTGAGCTGAGGCCTGAGCGCACTATGGCCGGCCATGTCTGAGCGATGCAATCCCAGTCATGTAGGTTAGCAAGGCACACTCCACAATGGTTCCCAAGCAAGCAGTAGAGCGCACCCTAAAACAAAATATGATAAAAACAATGGTATTAAATTAAAGACAAATACAGCATTACGCTAATGATGGAAAGTGAAAATTGTAGACTACGGACCTTGAACTGTTGCTGGGTGACGTCAGTTCGTGTAGGCTCTAGTAGCTCCAGGACACGTGGAGTAATGTCTCGGCAGCAGAAGTTATAGGTCCCCAATGCTGTGAACAACACATTTTGGGCCTTGCTGCGGACCTGAGGGTCCAAAAATGGGTATTCAGGAGAACATATAAAATAAAGGGGATAATTTTTTTTTTTAATTTGGTGAATGTGGAATCAGACCTGGCTGTAGGTGCTGGTGGAAAGACGCAAAAGGTCCCTCAACAGGTTCTGATGAACAGTCTTATATTCACAGCCCTCGACCAGCAACTTTCGCATCTAAACATGGAGAGCAGGGAAAAAAAATTTAAATTCCTATTTGGGGTGTTTAAATATACTGGTATTGACAATAATCTAATATTCAAAGAAATTAAATACCAATATCATGTTAAAACTATACATATGATCATATTTAATAGTATATAATCCAGCACCAGTAACTATCTGGTTGACACTCCAAAATTATAGGTCGGAAACTGCCTTATGTTGGTTGACACACGTAATAAAATGAGAAAAAAATTTATATATATATATATATATACTATATATGAGACACTCTAAGTGTAATTCATGCTTTTATAACGTCTATTCCTTGGCTTTTATTTCAAGCTGAGCTGAGACATTGTGATGTTTTTACTGTATTTTTCTTGTTTTTGTCTGAGTTTTTCTGGACACTGTTAAGCACTTTGATCAACCATGGTTATTTTTAAATGTGCTATATAAATAAAATTGAACTGAACTGAACTACCCATACCCTAAAATGCTATCCAGCCATTCTGGGAGTTTTTTGGATTGCTTAAAAAAACACCCCAGCAGTAAGTTTTTTATATGCTTTGTACTTTTGGTTACATATTTCCCTCTGCCTTCATGATTAAAAAAATAATCATATTTAGTGTGACTCTTTGGCCAAACAACAGAAAACACAAACGTTTAAGAAGAATTTGACTGATAGCATTGTTTATTTCTTTAATGTTCTATAGATATCACGACAACATTGTTCTTGTGAATTATTTTGGCCATGAAAATCATGTCATGAAAATGTGATATTGTGACAGCTCTACAATATCTATTATGCACCAAGTAACTATGCCAAGTTATTAGCATTGGCTCCTACCTCATGCTGAAGAAGAACTCTGTCAATCAGAAGAGCTCTGATGTGCTGTTTCTTCCCATGAAGCTGGAAAGAATAAGATGATTCATAAGACAATTATACATTTCAAATAAATGGCACAGGAGATTTTTTTAGGCCCAACTACACACCCTGTTCTCCATCGACTTCTTCACCAAGGTGAAACTCTTCCAACGAGAGTCAAACTCATGTTTGTGGGAACCTCTGAAGTGCATCAAGTCACTGATGATCTGAGGGAGACAAACAACTTGAGAAATCACAAAACTTTAATGCCTAATAATTGCTTTATGATCCAATTAGGGTTGGGCGATGTCTACAAAATTGTCATAGGACGATGTCTACAGTGAAACATCGCAATGGACGATGACATCGGCGGGGGCGAGCGGGGGAAGGGGTGTGGGGGTGAAGTTAGGGGGTGTGCCTGAAGTGTGAATCCTTATAAGGGAAAACACGATTCCTAACACCGTGTCTACACCGGACGCGAGCGGCGCGGCATGACAAAATACTATAGAACCAATGATCTATAATAGACATTTATTACATATAGATAAGTCTACAGAACTCATTATAATCAGTGATGCTGTCTATACTGGATGCGGTGTGGCGTGTCACGACAAATCCCTGACAGTAAACTGCTGCCGCGTTCTATTTATGACGTGCTGACACAAATTTCAAATGATTTTCAACGGATGCTTTGTCGCGGCTCCCTGATGCCGAAATATATATGTAGTATAATTACCCAATTATATAACTGCGAGGAAAATATTTAAATATATATTTTCCTCCCATCTCGTATTTATTCCCTTTAGGGGTTCAGCCTACACGTAATTTTCTTTCCAAACACGGTATTGGGATCCGGGGGGGAATGACGATGCCGGCTCAACATCGTGATGTCTGTCAGCCATCGGCGATGGACGATGGCATCGTCTATCGGCCCAACCCTAGATCCAATGCAAACTTAATGAACAACGGTCAATTCATTTTGCACGGATATCTACGGTGCACACTTACCTTGATAATGGCGAAAAGGGATTTGGTGTCATCCTCTGAGCGTTCCAGAATGTAATCTAAAGAAGAAAATTAGAAGATGCTTGTCTTAAGAATTGTGGGTAATGTAGATTAAGTAAATTTTGTGTACTGGAAGGTGTTCTAAATGAGGATCACTTACGAAGCAACTGTCTCATCACTTTACAGATGGCCTCACGGTAGTTCTCTCTGGACTCATCTGGAAAAATCAGCAATGACTTACTGAGAAGCTGAGATCCTATTCTATCATCATGATGCACAACAAGTTATTCTAACTGGACATTCATCACAACAGGTTTCATAAGCAGAGTTTTACTGTGAACTTCCCCAATTTGGGCTTACCATAGTCGACACCAATGTACAGCTTTGTTTCCTCCAAACTAACCATGCTGGGTACACTGCACAAAGGAGAATGAACAAAAAAAAACAAAAAAACATTTGAACTACAATGCAAAACCGTAAGATTTTTTTTAACAAAAAAAATGGCTGCATTTATTTGATTAAAATAAAAAAATTTTTACACAATTTCAAATAACTGTATTCTGTTTTCAAATGCGTAATATATTTTAAAATTAAATGTATTCCTTCGAGGACAAAGCTGAATTTTTTGCAGCCATTTAGCAGTCTTTAACTTTTTTATTATGAATGTTAAAAACAGTTGTTCTGTTTAATGTTTTTGTGGATACCATGAATAGAAAGTTCAAAAGAACAGCATTTATATGAAATCGAAAACTTTTGTAACATTATAAACATCTGTGCTATCACTTTTATCAATTTAATGTGTCCTTGATTAATACAAGTTTTTATTAAATACATTTTTCCCAGGGCTTGAAAATGAAAATTCAAATCAACATTTTTTTGAAAAAAAAATCAATCAGTTCACTCCGAGCAGAATTGATATTTTAACGTTTCTGTATTATGCGTTCCTCTGTATTATTACCGTTCCGAAACCAGTTAGAGTAGAAGAAATACCCGTTTTTTTTTCTTTGCCTATAATAATAGTAATAAAGTACAGCATTTTCTTTACTCAAAAATAAAAAAAAATTAAATCTTAACCCGATGCGCTTAGTCACAACCAATACAACATCATCTTTTCTGAATTACATTCAGAAATAATGTAGGCTAAAATGTGTGTAAAGCAAAATGTTTACAAACATTATAAACACAGTTATTAGTTTCTCTCCACAACAAATCTTAAGGCTATGCGTTTAGGCTATAAAACGTCAATCCAAAAACAAATTAATTTAAGGAGAAACTGATGCCTACCTCTCTCATTCTAGCACGAATCCAAATGTTTGCATATTCGCGATGTATTTGGACGCTAAAATATTATTTATTATAGGCTAGGCTTTGTACTTTCATCTACGTAAAACATCATCCTTCACATTGGCTAATGAGCACAGTGAGGCGGTGGTCACGCTGAACGCAACAGATGAAAAAAAAATCAATCAGTTCACTCCGAGCAGAATTTATATTTTAACGTTTCTGTATTATGCGTTCCTCTGTATTATTACCGTTCCGAAACCAGTTAGAGTAGAAGAAATACCCGTTTTTTTTTCTTTGCCTATAATAATAGTAATAAAGTACAGCATTTTCTTTACTCAAAAATTAAAAAAAATTAAATCTTAACCCGATGCGCTTAGTCACAACCAATACAGCATCATCTTTTCTGAATTACATTCAGAAATAATGTAGGCTAAAATGCCTGTAAAGCAAAATGTTTACAAACATTATAAACACAGTTATTAGTTTCTCTCCACAACAAATCTTAAGGCTATGCGTTTAGGCTATAAAACGTCAATCCAAAAACAAATTAATTTAAGGAGAAACTGATGCCTACCTCTCTCATTCTAGCACGAATCCAAATGTTTGCATATTCGCGATGTATTTGGACGCTAAAATATTATTTATTATAGGCTAGGCTTTGTACTTTCATCTACGTAAAACATCATCCTTCACATTGGCTAATGAGCACAGTGAGGCGGTGGTCACGCTGAACGCAACAGATTGTACAACGGAGCAGTGTAACTTCTTATTTGTTTCTTTAACTGTATTTTATTTTGATAATGAACAGGCTGTAATGTCTCAAAAATATGTTGTGTCTGTGTGCACGTGAGGCGCCCGGCGCGATATGTTCATACCAATGCTGGTTGGTTATACAGATAGAAGCAAGACATCATTCAAAACTGTCAAGCTTTTGCTAAATAAATAAAACTGTAAAGCTTTTGCAAAATAAAGAAAACTACTGCCATCTCGTTTTCATTTCCGAGAACTTTGGAACGCATCACAATGAACCGTAACTCACACATTTTTTTTCTTTTCATTTGTAAAGGGGTCCTATTATGCTTTTTCAACTTTAGTTAGTCTGTAATGTTGCTGTTTGAGCACATAAAAGATCTGCAAAGTTACAATGCTCAAAGTCCACTTCAAAAGGGGATATTTTATTTAACAGAAATCACTTTTCAAAAACTACAACAGACGACTCGTTTGGACTACAACGCATATTTAAAATCACAAATACCGAAGAATGGGACGAGACCTGGTTGAGCTGCACTAGAGAAGGCAACGAGTGTTACTATGTCGGATACACGCTAGCTTTCCCAAGGCAGAAGAACTTAAGAATGGTTACAATCATCCGGGTTTAAATCATGCTCAAATTGATTTGATTTTGACGCAATATTTACACTGAAGCTCGCAGGCGGCTATGGTAAGGGGCATGACATTTTCCGACCAGGCGCCGAGTGCTGCCAATCACAACACACACTGGCCCAGCTAACCAATCACAGCACATTTCATATTTCAGAAGGCAGGCCTATATTTGATACAGGAACTATTAGAGCCGTTCATGCCAGGCTGGGGAGAGAGGTGTTGTAATAATGTAAAATATATGAAAAATAATGTGTTTTTCGAAAAACCTAGTATGAAAGCCTGTTCTAGTACACCCCCAAAACAAAATCAAGACTTTGTAAAAGAGCATAACAGGACCCCTTTAATGTCAATGATTTAAGTGAAATATATTTAGTGTATATGCCTATATATTCCTTTTTTGTAAGCCTGTAGTTTTATTCTGTTTTCTCCATTCACAGAAGTGCTGCAGGTGCGTGTGATCTGTTGAATCTATCTTACACTATCCTCGGATAAACTCTAACGCCGGTGCATTGCCACTGCGACTTAATGATGAGTTCACAGCTGAGCGGGCCTTTCACTTGTTGGATGCGTCAGCTTCACATTTGCATAGGCCGTACTACTTGAATTCGTGATTGGTTGACAGCAAATTTCAAATATTAAATGGAACGATAAAATAACATTATTAACTGGTTAATGGCCATTTCAAATTTTCGATTCTGTTCGGAGCTATACAATTTGATTTAGTTTCTGGTTCTGTTCCTGTCAAAATTTAGTTAGTTTCCGTTTTCATTCCTTGAACCGGTTAAGAGCCCTGATTTTTCCTTTTAAAAATGAAATACAATTTAATCAGCGCTGTGTGTCCCTTCACATATCCGCTGATTAGAGCAAACTTTGCTCTATATCACAGTGAGTTTTTGGACTTACAGGCCAGTGATTGTGGGTCCATCAAGAGGGGGGAACATGCTGCCAGCACCCAGCAGACAGTGCTGGACTATACACAGGCTCTGAAGAACATCATCTCTGTTTAAAGTTCAGAAACGTGTCAGCATTAGCAAAAACAATTTAAGAAAATATTCAAGATGTTTTAAAACCAATACAGAATGATGTTTTTTTTTTGTCTTTACCATTATTACAGAGTGCACTTTTGACACCTGACCTGCTCATTTCCTGCTCTCCCTGTGCGTATTTCTGCAGACGCTGGAGCTCTGGCTGCAGCAGCAGATCCAGAACATAGAAAACAAACGCCGTTTCCTCTGCGCTGGGCACGTGCCACTGGATCTCCAGGTTCCAAAGGTCCCCCGGACGACCCCAGTCCTGTTTAAAGAACAAGGGAGGTAGTGAGAACTCATGGGATCAACAATGATCTAATACACTGCTCTGCTCTCTCCACTGGTCAAATGTCCTCACATGGTACAGACACATTCCCAGTACCTTAATGGGCAAGTACTCTTGCAGGGGTCTGTTGAAGCCACCGGGCACACTGCAGTAGTCTGTGGGGTAAGTGAGTGCTGTGGAACGCAGGATATGGTGCAGCAGGTTGCAGGCCAGAGTGTAGCCCTGCTTACAGCGCAAACGCAGGGTCAGTTGCAGAGTCTGCACCAGCTGAGTGCGGTACGGGAGGAGCTTTTCTCCATCAACACGAGTCACCTGAAGCAATGATATATACACAACAATTGCTGTCTAGTGTCTAAACAGATGTAAGGGGATTGATGTGAAAAACTCTTCATAAGCAGCGACTCCATTACTGTACCTAATGGAAAGTGTATGTCATACAAACTTCATAGTTTAACCTAGTTAAAGAAAGACCACCGAAATTCTGTCATAATTTACTCACACTCATGTTGTCCCAAAGTTGTATGACTTTACTTATTCTGTGGAACATAAATTATATTTTAAAGAATGTTGGTAACCAAACTGTTTCGATTCTCATTGACCATTATTATATGAAAAAAAAACATGGAAATCAATGGGAACTGAAACTGCTTGATTACTAACAGCATATCGTCTTTTACGTTCTTCAGAAAAAATAAAGTCAAACAGGTTTGGAACAACATGAGGAGGTGAGTACATTTTTAGGCAGCTATCATGATTTTGTTATACATTTTAAGCTCTTCTGCACATAATCTTTCATGTGCAGTTTGATATAGGGTTATTTTGACCTCAGACAGCAGCTGAAGATTCCAGATCAGTTCTTTGTCCAGTTCTTCCTCATTTGAAACATCTTCATCTGAAACACACCAAAACACAAGTGAGGATGCTGAAACAGACTCAAGATAACACAAACGGTCATTTCTTGTACGTACTGGCAGTTAGATGAGTAATGGCATTACAGCAGTGTGGTACAAACAGCCTGAGAGACTCAGCCGGGTGACACTGAAACAAAGCAGAGGACAGCTGAATCAATGTGGCCCCACAGCTGTGTGTGTGTTGGGCAAAGGGAAAGTATTACCTTAGAAGCTGCTCTGCACATGTCTGCCACCATCCTGCCTGCGACACGAGTCTCAAAGATGTTGGTGGTGGCAAAGTTGAAGACTTTCTCGAGAGCAACCTATAGACAGATAACAGCTGTTAACGGATAATATTTAGGTGTATATGAGAAAAAACACTGTTCAAAAGTTTGAAATGGTTTTTTTTTTTTTGAAAGAAATCTTATGTCCACCAAGTCTGCATATATTTGATCAAAAATACAGCAAAACCTGTAATATTGTAAATTATTACTACAATTTAAACTATGTTTTATATTGTAAAATGCAATTTATTCCTCTGATGCCAAAGTTGAATATTCAGCAGCCATTACTTCAGTCTTCAGTGTCACAAGATCCTTCAGAAATCATTCTAATATGCAGATTCGGTATTCAACAAATATTTCTTATTATCATCACAATTATTATTGTGAAAATAGTGTTGCGTAGTATTTTTGAGGAAATTGTGACAATTTTTTTTTATTCAGGATTCTTTTGTAACATTAGAAATATGTCACTTTTGGTCAATTTAATGCATCCTTGCAGAATAATAAAAAATAAAAAAAATCTTAGTGACCCCAAACTTTTATCAGTAGTGTATATGGGTGCCACAAATAATATATTGACAGTCAATACACCGCATGCATAATTATTAGGCACATTTATATTCTGATATTTTTTTTCCAAGCACATTTTACCAATTCCAAACCACAACAATCTTAATAACGACTATTATTTTTGTATTTAATCATTTATAAGTGATATACAATTGTCCATGAAGGCTGGAAGTGAAAAACTTATATTCAGGTGTGCAGAATTATTAGGCATGTTTTCTTTTACTGAAAAAATGAGCTAAAAAAGAGGTTTAACTCAGACTGTTAAAAAAAGCCAGAAAGTCAAAAATTATTAAATCCCCATGAGAAATATTCAAAACTAATGCAATACAGAAATTGCAAAGTTAAGACATGACCATTGGACAGCAAAATGCTCACTTGGTCAGCGAGGTCAGAAAAAACAGGTGGAGAAGAAAAGACATGTTAACTGCAAAAGATTTAAGAATTAATGTGAAGAATTAGATGTAAAACCATCAAGAACCATTTAGTCTCCAGCGCCACCATTTTCCAGAACTGTAACCTACCTGGAGTCTTCAGAATTACAAGGTGTCAGGATCTCAGAGACTTTGCTTGGGTAAAAAATCCTAAAAAATGACCCACACTTAATAAGAATAACATGCTGAAGTATTATGAAATACATTAAGACTATTTTTTTTTTTAGGCTTTATGGACAGATAAGTTGAGAGTGACTCTTGAAGGACCAGCACCACATCCTCTTGTAATACAGTTTGAAGAATTTATCTTCCAGAATCTGGCAGCAAGTTTTAGGAGCTCATTTTTAGTTAACCCTGCAAAGACTTTTCAGGATAGGAGATGGAATATAAAAAAAAAATACATACAGTGTATATATACATATATATATATATATATACACACATATATATATATATATATATATATATACACACACACACACACACACACACACACACAGTGCCATGAAATGGTTTTTGCCCCCTTCTGGGTTTTTTTTTTTTTTTGCATATTTGTCACACTTAAAAGATTCAGATCATCAAACTAATTTTAATATTACACAAAAATATTTCAAGTAAATACAAAATGCAGTTTTTAAATGATGATTTCATTTATTAAGGGAAAAAAGCTGTCCAAACCTACCTGGCCCTACGTGAAAAATTAATTGCCCCCATCCTGTTAAATCATGAAAGAACTGTGATAAACCACATTACTTTAGAATTAAATTAATTTAAATTTAGAGTTAAATTTCACTAGCCACACCCAGGCCTGATTACTGCCAGACCTATTGAATCAAGAAATCCCTTAAATAGAACCGGTCTGACAAAGTGAAGCATGCTTAAAGAGCACCACATCATGCCTAAAGAACATCATGCCTAAATGATCTAAAGAAATTCAATTCATGATTCAACAATAAGAAAGAGACTGGCATCCATGGGAGAGTTCCAAGGGAAAAGCCATTGCTGACTAAAAATAACACAAAGGCTCATCTCACATTTGCCAAAAATATCTTGATTATCCCCAAGACTTTTGGGCAAATATTCTGTGGACTGATGAGAGTTTAACTTTCTGAAAGGTGTGTGTCCCGTTACATCTGGCGTAAAACCAACACAGCATTTCATAAAAAGAACATCATACCAACAGTCAAACATGGTGGTGGTAGTGTGATGGTCTGGGGCTGCTTTGCAGCTTCAGGACCTGGACGACTTGCCATAATTGATGGAACCATGAGTTCTGTCCGGCCGTCAGTTTGTGACCTCAAGCTCAAGCGCACTTGGGTTATGCAGCAGGATAATGATCACAAACACACCAGCAAGTCCACCTCTGAATGGCTCAAGAAAAACAAAATTAATGTTTTGGAGTGGCCAAGTCAAAGTCCGGACTTAAATCCGATTGAGATGCTGTGGCATGACCTAAAACAGTCCTTTCATGCTCGAAAACCCTCCAATGTGGCTGAATTAAAACAATTCGGCAAAGAAGAGTGGGCCAAAATTCCTCCACAGCTATGTGAAAGACTCATTGCTAGTTATCGCAAACGCTTGATTGCAGTTGTTGCTGTAAAGGGTGGCACAACCAGTTATTAGAATCGTGCCAGGCAGGTTTGGACAGCTTTTTTCCCTTAATAAATGAAATCATTATTTAAAAACTGCATTTTGTATTTACTCGGGTTATCTTTGTGTAATATTAAAATTGGTTTGATGATCTGAATCAATATATATACACAGCACTATCTATATATATAGTCAAAAAATGTTGCGGTCCTCGCTGACTTTACACAAATGCAACCACACAGTGCAACGTGCTGTCAAACAACCGGTGAATCAGTCTATAAAGAGTCACTGATCTGACTCATGGGATACTTCAGTTCTCACTTCTTTACTAAATCAGCTCAGATTACTCACTGAGCCGCAGATTAATAAAAATGTATATACAGTGCACAGCATAAATGAGTACACCCCCTCTAAAACTTAAAGGGGTCCTATTATACTCTTTTACAAAGTCTTGATTTTGTTTTGGGGGTGTACTAGAACATGCTCTCATGCTTGGTGGTTCGAAAAACGCATTATTTTTCTCAGGCGGTCGCACACCGGACGAGAAGCGCAGCGTCGCGCCACGTCTTTAAAATTCAAATACATTATTTTCTATGAGTGTAGGCACACCGGCGGCGCCTTTCGGCATCTGTCTGCGGCGCCCAGCTACGTTGTGTTGTACTTGTAAGAATAGTTCTAGACCAGCGGTTCTCAATTCCAGTCCTCGTGTACCCCCGCTCTGCATGTTTTGCACGTCTCTCTTTGTTAACACACCTGATTCAGATCATCTCATTAGAAGTGAGCTTCGTGCATGAACTGTGTTCCGATTGACATGGTCCCCACTCAGTATCCATTGCTCCCTACTCCCTGAGCAGGGGAAATCCGTTGAAGTTTACTTCACTTCGGAATATTCATTTACAGATTTGCGCTGCGCCACTGCCTGCAGCGTCTTCACACACAAACAAAACTTACTAGAGAAGCGTGAAGTGGGACTTAATACACCTCTGTAAATAAATTTACAATTTAAATTCACATCTCGCAGACTTAAATGCCCTTTGTATGGAACATATCCGCTCCCTTCAAACTGGAATCATGGAGGAATATCCGGTAATGTCCACTTCGCAGGGCACTTACAGTCAAATATAGCAAACGTATGAAGCAATAAGAGAAACATACAAAATGTGCAGAGCGGGGGTACGCGAGGACTGGAATTGAGAACCGAAAATTTGTGTTGCAAAAATGAGTACACCCTCCTGAAAGTTACTAAATAAATAAAATAAAAAATTTTTTAAAAGTAATATATAGGTTTAAGGCTATTTTTGATCAACAGGTAAGCATAAAATAGCATCTTAGCATAAAAGAGAACAATGGTACAAGAGGAATACCAAATTATTGTTTTAAGTGTGAAAATATAGCAGAAGTAGCACCAACATTCAAAAACAATGGACTTGTGATAAGGCTCCTGAAATAATCAGGTCTTCACTTTAAGTTTTCATTTAGTGATGAGTGAATTTTTGCTAGAAAAAGAGCAGGAGAAATAACATGCAAGTGTCTCAGAGCCGGCAAAAGCTGTGAAAAGACGCAGCCTGCAGAAGTGACATGTGTGGTTGTTGTCACCACTAGAATTACCTACTGTAGCCAAAGCAAAATAAACTAATTTAACCTCTTCCAAGGCCCATATTTACAAAATAGAGACTTCTGGGAATCCATACTCTGGTCTCGAGAGACCAATTCAATCATTTCGGGTCTAACAGTATCCAAAATGTTCTGGTGTTGCTACAGGAGTACAAAGAGAAGTGCTTGGTACCCACAGTGACGTTCAGTGGTAGTAAAGCTTTTATATAGGGATGTATGAGTGCTGAAGGTGTGAGCGAGTTGTGCTTTATCAATGCTGGCATGAATTCACACACTACTGTGTGATGTAATACAAAAACTTGAAACAGATGCTACCCTCCCCTCATTCCCTGCATTATTGGGCATTTTTTCAGCATGACAATGAATATATTAATTCTCCCAAGGTGAAAATCCTTCAGCGGACATGTATTTCACTCAATCTTAACACTCTTGAGAAGCTGTGGGGGATTCTGTAGAGGCGAGCTGAGCAACACTCCCCATTAAAGATCAGGGCATTTAAGGAGGTCGTCCTCCAGGAGTTAAACAGGACAGATGTGAAAATGTGTCATGAACTTGTACACTCAGTGCCAAGAAGGGTCAGAGCAGTATACTTTAAGTGCTTACGAAGTGACATACTAAGTACTAGAATATTATACATTTTCTGAATTAAATCTAGGGTGTACTCATTTCTGCAATCCTTCATTTAAACAAAATTGGCTAATCTTGGCTTACTTATCTTACTTATAAGTAACTTACTTATATTTACTTAGAAAATATTGGCATATATTCTGTTGTTTTTATTAAGTATATGATTAATATGTTTAAATTTTGCCATCTTTCCATGAATTATATTAGTGATCATTAAGAAAATACATCTTTTATATTTATTCAAAGGGGGTGTACTCATTTATGCTGTGCACTGTATATATATATATATATATTTGTAAGGTTAACAAAATCTAATTACTAAGAGGCAAAGAAAACAGAGAGGTCTGAGACTTTTCTTTTTGTAATAAACAGTTTTTTCATTAAAGAAAATGTTTTAAATAGTTTAATAGTTAAAATTCTATTAAATGTAATAAAAACCTTGAATATCTCCATGGAGCACTGTGTCAGAATGGTGCTGAAGGTGGATGAAAGGCCCAGCTCCACCAGACTCTCTAAATGAGTCATTTTCTCTGTCTCCGTCTCCTCGCGCGTCTGCTCCAGAGTGCTGCTGTCAATCAATGCAAAACACCTACAGGCACACAAAATAGGGCTCAAGCCACAACAATAGTGTATTATATTTTTTCCAGGCACACACATCTCACTAAATGACTCACCTGTCCATAAACTGCAGAACAAAGTCTTCAAACTCAGCAGAAGCCGAACACAGCTCTCTCTCCATCTACAACAAATAAAAGATTTTATGACAGAATACAGAAAGAATAATTATGTAAAATCTCTGCAGTGGGTCTTTTACATAAGATTTCAGAGCCCTACCTCAGTCAAGTCATTTTTCTCATGGAGGGCTGATGAACAGTCCACCAAAGGCACTAAAGTAGTAAAAGTAGCAATGAACTGGAACGTGATCTAAAAACAAAATATGTGAACATTATAAGAGAGCAACAACAAGGAATCAAAATTCTTTATTTAATTGTCAATGTTTATGTCACAGTTTACCCACCATGCATTTGCTGAAGTCATTAGGATCAACACCAGGCAGTGCTCTCATTAGCAGGGGCAGGACATGCGCGGGACCTTCGGGATAATGTCGGCCCCTGCTGAGAAGACTGCGGGCCATGCCAATCATACAGCTGAGAGTGGCAGTAAGCTGGTGCGGCTCCGTCAGAGTCTCCATAGCAGGATACGTCCTGCAGGGGGCAGCACATTCCCACATTTGCTTTTAGTTGGTTACTCCTTTGGGAAAAATCCAGCTCCTGCTTTACACTGGATTCTAAGTTGACCGCTTACAAAGCCTACTTACAAAGATTGGATTTGTATATCCTGACAGTGAATAAAAGAAGCCACTATACAGGTTATGATACAGCTTTATGACATTAAATCATGAATTTATATGGCAACTCATCTTTAATAACTGTTTAAATTAGGGGTGCTCTGATCAGGATTTTTGAGGCCGATCACAGAAAGCAGTATCTGCCGATACCGATCACCGATACCGAACTTTTTAAAGCCTTCTTTTTATAATTTATAACTATTTATAATGATACTCCAATCAGGATTTTTAGACATTTATTTCATTTTTGAAAATGGGGGGAATTCCCCTCTTAGGTGACTCGTGAGAGGAGAAGCAGCTTTCACACAGGAGTCTGCTACTGATCCGTGTTTACCACAAACACAACATTTATCCATTATTTTGATTTCAAATCCAAACATTGTTACTGAAAATGCTTTTTCAGCATTGCAATTCTTTTTTTAAACAGTACAGTAATACAATCTTTCACAGATATGTTTAAACACAATAAATATAAGCAACACATCATTCAATGCATTTACCTCTAGATTTATATATTAAGTTGCTCAAGCAAGCGGCAAAACATTTAAACTACTTTTCTTACGTTATCACAAACTTACCATTGACAGAAATAGTCAGCTCTACTGCCTTTCCTTTTGTATTGAAACCTTTATTACAAGCAATCCTGTGGTTCATAAAGAACTTTGTTTTCCTACCTCTACCCTACCATCTATTATTGCCTTCGTTATCTAAAAGTGCTCTTTTCCAACAAGCCATGTGTGTTGACTGTGAAAGACAGTATACTTTAATTATATGCATTTATGGTGCAACTGCTACATTTTCGTTTTCTTATGTACTGCAAACAATGTGCTGTCACTTTAATTCAGTGCGTGTATCACAGCAAACATAGACTCGGTGCGTAAACGCTCTCTGCACTGCTGCAGACACACCGCTCCTGAACGCACTGCCATGTGCAGTGTGAATGCTTTAATCCGTTAACATGAGCGCGGAAAAAATACTCACCACATACCACGCACTGCAAACAGAGTAATGTGAACCTGGCATTATGTGTCTGCACTGCAAGTGTGCATGAGCACACGGTCTACAGGAGAGCGCGCGAGCACTGAATGATTAAACACTGGCAAGTAATGCAAAAACTTTACTTTACTTGTATAAACTTTAGTGACGATGTGACACTGCCTCGATTGTGCAAGTGACAATTCCTGTGTCAACTGTGCAGCGTGCAGCTCGCTTATAGACAGACGTGGTGTGGTGATTTGAAGACATTCGCGTATTTTGAGAGTAAAAGAGAGCGCGTGGTAATTCACTCACGCTGTTTGTGAAATTACGTCTCACACAAGGTTTTCAAATTACTTTGCAAGTTATTTAATAAAGAAATATGAAGGTGAGTACCTCAGCTTCAGCATTATAATTATTTCACCTGCTCCGGACAGAGACTGAGACAGTTCCGCTGCATGTCGTGCCAAACCTCAGCGTCATCAGCTTGAGATCGTTTTTTTGAGATCGGCCTTTTAGAGACTGCCGATCGATCATCCCAACGTGATTATCGGCCGATAGTGCTCGGTAGCCGATCAATCGGAGCACCCCTAGTTTAAATACTACAAAATTAAGCACATTTAATCAGCTATACATCATCATATACTAACAAATTTATCAGAATAGATAAAAAATACTGTGGGGGTGAATTCACTTAGCTGGTTTAGCTTTAAAGTCATTGTAACCTTTTTATGTAAATTAGGCTGATTAGTCTGTGCCATCTGCCTGTTATTAGCGCCTACAGGCCCTGAACATCAGCAGTTCCACACACTCACTTCTCCAGCACAGGTGGGATGACCAGCTCTGGTCTCATCAGGGCCAGATTCTGCAAGGCCTGAGCTGCATCCATGCTGCCTGTCTTGCTGAACATGGCCATCAGTACTGGCTGCTTCATGCTCTCCACAAAGTCGGTCACATCCTGGTCTGAGAGTCTGTGACTGGCGGGAACAGGGGTGATCCAGCAGGGTTTCTTATAGCGCTCCCGATGTAGCCGCCGAACCACACTGGCAGGCAGACGCTGTAGAAGCTTCATCAGCTTCATCTGGAGAAGAAAATAAGAGACAGACGGAAGCGATATTAAGATATGACTGACGCAGATGGCCAAAACAAATGAATTATTCCAGAATGAAATGAAGCTAAAGTTTCATACTATGTTTTCTGTAGCACCTCCCATAGTAGTGATCAGCCTTTTTATTTTAATTTTTTCCAAATCCCATTTAAGATGCCAGCAGCATCCCAGAGTCTTCTCTTGACTCTTGCAGATGAAACCAGCATTTGGCATGTTTTTTTCTTTTTTCAATTAAGCTTTTGGATTCCCAAACTATAGAGAATGACCACTTCTTTCAGTCCTGGTTAGATAAAGTTTGCATCTTCTTTCAAGAAAGAAACAGCCTTCAGAACAATAAACTATAGGGTTTCCAGATAAATTGGATTATTTTTTGCCATTTAAAAAACAAAACTGGGCTTTATGAAGTCAATTATTTAGTATTTGAAAAAGCTATGAAACATTGCAATGGGCTTTTCTAACTTCTTCAAATGCCATAACTCTTTTCTTAAGAACTCTTTTTCTAAGTTTGTGGTACCAAATTAAAATGCATGAGACTTTAGAATGATCTCAAAATTAGTTTTTCTTTTAGTAGACATGGGACTTTGCTTCGCTTTTTTAGTTACTTCAAATAGTAATAATATTTTTTTAAAACTGCTATGCATTATAGTTAAAACATTAATAATGGATTGAATTAACATCTACCCTATTTCATGCACACAATGCTGACAGACTACAACAGTTAAACATGTCGTCAGTGTGGACATACGTCACTGTGACCAAAAAGGATTCTAAAGTAGCAATATGCAAAAACAGATGGCTGAGATATCGAGAGGTCGCTTGTTGCTGAAGAACTTTAATAAGACTGGTTTAAATTACCACCTAACTAACACCAAGTTCCATTAATCAAATGTATTATTCAAACTTTATTTTCTGTTCCAGTTTTCACTCGTGATTCTGTAAAAAATAATTTTGGTGCATCACCACTTTTGAACAGTAAAGTAGCACAAAGGAATAAAGACTTAGTGATACTCAACACTCTTTAATAGCATTTGTTTTCAAAAAACAAATTATTTGTTGCAATACGGAGTTAAATAATCACATCTGCAAACTACCCTTATGATACTGTATGGTACTCTACTGAGTTATGAGTGCAGGAAAAGGATGCATGTCTAGCATGATAGGTGGTCAGTAACTGTAAAGTTGTCAGTGGTGTTTCAGTAGTTGGAATGTGGAGTGACCTCACTCTGTCAAAGCACCATCCGTCACTGCATATCTCCCTCTTGCACGCAAACATAAAGCTCAGCTGATAACACAAACCGTAGACAGTTCCAGAATGGACTTTAGGGGACTTCCAAGATTTTGCACTGCAGCAGATTGTTCTGGATGTTTATCCTAATAGGGAACATCTTACCAGCCAGCGCCCATTGTTTGAAGGGTGGTAGAAAGATGCTATACTACTGACATTTTGGTGCATCACCACTTTTGAACAGTAAAGTAGCACAAAGGAATAAAGACTTAGTGATACTCAACACTCTTTAATAGCATTTGTTTTCAAAAAACAAATTCTTTGTTGCAATACGGAGTTAAATAATCACATCTGCAAACTACCCTTATGATACTGTATGGTACTCTACTGAGTTATGAGTGCAGGAAAAGGATGCATGTCTAGCATGATAGGTGGTCAGTAACTGTAAAGTTGTCAGTGGTGTTTCAGTAGTTGGAATGTGGAGTGACCTCACTCTGTCAAAGCACCATCTGTCACTGCATATCTCCCTCTTGCACGCAAACATAAAGCTCAGCTGATAACACAAACCGTAGACAGTTCCAGAATGGACTTTAGGGGACTTCCAAGATTTTGCACTGCAGCAGATTGTTCTGGATGTTTATCCTAATAGGGAACATCTTACCAGCCAGCGCCCATTGTTTGAAGGGTGGTAGAAAGATGCTATACTACTGAAGAGCCCATTAAGCTGTGTCTGGACCTGGTTCTGTGGGCCACCCTGAAGAAAATAATAAAGATCTGTAAATAAATGCACCCTTTAATAACTAACCTATAATAGCAGGAGTGTGATTCATGAAACTTACAAGCATGGAGGAAATCCAGAGGACCACGTGACCGATTTCGTAGGAGTTGGTTAAGTATCTGGGAATTACCATTTGGCTGGTGCCAACAGGAAGATTGAAGCTACGCAGAATCCTGGTGAAGATCTGAAGGAAGACAACAAAGTATCAGTATAAAATGCTCTGATGTCTTTAGATCATCATCTACACTATGGTTCAAAAGTCTGGGGTCAGTAAGCTTTTTTGGAAATAATTTGGTACTTTTATTCAGGATGGATTTCAAATAAATGCTGTTTTTGAACTTACTATTGATCAAAGAATCATGAAAAGAATTATACATCAGTTTCCACAAAAATATCAAGCAGCACTGTTTTCAATATATTCGATAATAAATGTTTCATAAGCACCAACTCAGCATATTAGAATGATCATGTGACACTGAAGACTAGAGATTAAATTATATTTTAGAATATATTAAAATAAAAAACTACTTTATAATTTAAAGCTACTTTAAATAATAATAATTCACAATATTACTGTTTTTACTGTATTTTTCATCAAATAAATGCAGCATTAGTAAGAGACATCAAAAACATCACCCCAAAATTTTGAACAGTCGCATATATAAGCCGGACAGTACCTTGGGAATGTATGGATCCCAGTTCACATAGCCAATGTTGTCATTAGCCAGACGTGCAAAAATATTCACTAAATTCTGTAAGAGGAAACACGAGTTAACAGAGGATAGAAAGCCAATGGTGACATAATATTTAGCACTTTAACAAATGAATTCATGAATGAGAAGTACTTACACCCTCCCAAGCAGGCAGGTTTTGCACTGAAACCCAGAGATCCATCATTTCATCAAACCATAACCTAAAACATGCACAAATCCCCCTATTACACTGGGTCAGACTTATTGGTTGCACTTTATGAATATTGAGTAATTTATTTTAGATTGCAATCCTCTTATTTCATTACTAAATTGCATAAGAGAGTCTTACTTGAAGCCTTTGTGATGCTGTTCTGGGGGCATGATGGTGGGCAAGAAGAGCTCAAAGTAACCAATGGCCTTCTGCATAGTGACATCAAACGGGCACAGTAATGGCCGCCACTCATCAAGCATCTCCTGTGTGGCTGACTCAGGGAAATAACTAAGCACACACACACACACAAACATTATGAGAACCAAATCACATGTCATTTTCTTAGATCCATGGTTGTTTATTTGTTATGTGAGCTCTTGCAAAACGATGAAAAGTGGTTGTTAGATGAATGAAACGGTCAACAGTATAATGTGTTAAGAGAGCTGTAATCGGCTCAGTGTGAAAGCTGTGGGCTTGTCTAACAACGGCCTGATTACATGATTCTTTCAACAGCACAACGAAAAGCTGATTAACACAATGTGCAATTCTTTTGTGAAAGGGGTCGAACATTTATAGGCACATTAGTGAATGACGAAGGATGAAAACACTTACAGTCTGCAGCTCTTGACTAGTGTCTTCAACACATTCTCCACTGAGCTAGAGGGAGGAAAAGGGAATAGACAGAGAAAGGAAGTGCATTAATATAGTATGAAAGACTAGGCTCATTTGAGGTTGAAGCAATAGATGCGATTAGACCACGTGCAAAGCAGAAACCCAACTACAGTGCGTTTTGTGAAAGTGTAAATGAGAGTTTCCCAACACCAGAGCCTGGGCACATGAGTGCAACATGTCAGGTTATCAGGTTCTTCTCAGGTCCTTTTTATAACTGAGCTCAAAAATGCTGAATACAGTCACACTGCATCAACAGCTAATTCAAATCAGGAAGCTGCTCCTAAATATACACGTGTTTTACCTTAAAGTTGGCCAAGATGTGCAAACCGCTGGCTGTGGATTATGACTTTTATGAATACAGTTATGCTACTAAATGATGTAAATAGAGATGAACTATTTGATAAGGATGTTTAGCCTTAAAGGGATAGTTCTCCCAAAAATGAAAATTCTGTCATTAATTACACATCCTGATATCGTTCCAAGACCTTCATTCATCTTCCTAACGCAAATTAAGATATTTTTTATGAAATTTTTGATGCAACTGACACGATCCAGGCCCAGAAAGGTAGTAAGGACATCATTGAAATAGTCCATGTGACATCTGTGGTTCAACCGTAATTTTATGAAGCTACGAAAATACTTTTTGTACACAAAGTATTCTCATAGTTTAATTAATTTAAGGTTGAACCGCTGATGTCACATGGAGTATTTTAACGAAGTCCTTACTACCTTTCTGGACAAAGTATTCTCATAGTTTAATTAATTTAAGGTTGAACTGCTGATGTCACATGGAGTATTTTAACGAAGTCCTTACTACCTTTCTGGGCCTTGAATGTGGTAGTTGCGTTGATGTCTATGCAGGGTCAGAAAGCTCTCGGATTTCATCAAAAACATCTTAATTTGTGTTCCAAAAATGAATGAAGGTCTTACGGGTTTGGAATGACATGAGGGTGAGTAATGAATGAAAGTATTTTCCAGTTTTGGCTCTTTTTTTTTGAGGACTATGGCAGTGATTTACTATAAAATGTATATTCGGCCAAACCATTTATTCGATTTCTATCAAATAATGCTATTGAAGTGCTCTATAAATAATTCTGTGCCATTTTATACATATTGTGTGAAGTTATGACTTATTCAACCTGCATTCTTTTCCATTCTGATGTGGTCAATCCAGCTAGTTTTTTGAATGCAAGAACACTAAATTAAGCCCCTTAAAACACATCTGACTGGGGTCTACTGATCCTGATCGTTCAAGGCTTACTTAAAAGGACAGTTCATCCAAAAATTAAAATTCTATTTACGAATAGAAAAGTAGTCATTCCAAAATTAATGACTTTCTTTCTATGGTGGAACATAAAAGATATTTTGAGAAATTTGTTTTTTTGTTGTTGTTCATAATATGGAAGTCAATGGGCTCCAGTGTTGTTTAGTTTTCAACGTTCTTCAAAATATCTTCTTTTGTGTTCTGCAGAAGTCAGTCATACAGGTTTGCAATGACATGGTGGGATTTCACTTTGGGGGAATATCTCTTTAATACAGGCCTGTCAACTAGTTGTTCAGATAACTTACTGGCTAGTTAATAATTAAAATATGTTGTCTTGTACATCCACAGTTCTAAAAATACACCCCAGCAAAGCTTAGCAAGACATGGCAGCTGTTGATCTTCCTCTTGGTACAAGTGTAAACAAACACCTTCCACATTCAGCACTCTCTCTGTTCGGGCAAGTTTAAATGGAACACAATGATACCAGAACCCAAGGGGAAAATTGGCAAAAATTGGGTGACCTTGCCCTCTAAATCAGCGAGCCAAAGTGATCCGACCCACATATTACAGCCTGACCTAAAAGAAACAGGACTGACAACAGACTACACTGTGTTTCCCAAAAGCGCTGTGAGCTTTAAAGTGGAAATGAAGCAGTCAGTCAAGTTTACATTTGGGAAAATAACTTCCATTTTAATAAAAAAAAATATAACAAACATGATTAATGTAACCATTTTAAAGAAAAAAGGTTGTTTTGTTATAGCTTTTGGAGCAAGGGCGCCGCCATCTTGCAGTACCACCAAATGTGACGTCACAGGGTTGGTTCGCTCCGATAGCCAGTGAAGTAATAGAACCATTTCTTTACATTTTGAACACACGCTTGTTTTAAAATGGAGGAAGACGAACTTGAAAGCACTGTTGAGTCCATAATAAGTGTAATTGCCTATGCATTTGAGCCAATACAGCAATGGGACCGAGCAGTTAGGAGTTGAAGAAGTCGTGAACCTGCTGGTTTGGGGTAAAGTGCGGATTGGAAACAATACTCGTTTACGTGGATACTCCTCAACACTGTCATTCCGACGTGCTTTTGTGTGCATTTGCTGATGAAGGCGCGAAAGAAAGCTCAATTTGGTAGCCTACTCACGTGCTGTCCGAGCCCAGCTGTGGCTTTGTGTGTGTGTGTGTGTGTGCGGCGCCCAGTTTTGACAATTTGGGGATTTTGCCGCCAAATTTATCCATGCTTGAATGGCTTAAAACACTTTAATATTTAAACTGACAAGGCTTAAAACACATGAGAATGATAAACTTTATTGAGGAAGCAGCACTGGTCCAATTGTTCAGATAGGTGATTAGTTCAAAACTATGTCCTGTTAACAGCAGGAAAGCTGTTTGTATTCAAGCTAATATTCGCCGGTGAACATAAAATATGATACTGGTGAACCAACCAGTCAGAATTCATTCTGATTCTGATTCTGATATTGCATGAAGTGTTGTTTGTTTACGTCACGTTGGGCCTCTCATTATGAAAACAATATGTTTGGGATACCACGATCAAAACTTAGCATATAGACAGTTTGATGTTGAATATTCATGCAAATTATGGTGAAAACCAAATTATTTGTGTGGTAAAATAACCTGTGTGTGTTCAAATGTAAAGAAATGTTTGTATTACTTCACTGGCTATCGGAGCGAACCAACCCCGTGACGTCACACGCAGTGGTACTGCAAGATGGCGGCGCCCTTGCTCCAAAAGCTATAACAAAACATCCTTTTTTCTTTAAAATGGTTACATTAATCATGATTGTTATATATTTTTTTATCAAAGTGGAAATCACTTAACTAAATAATGTTATCTTAACTGACTGCTTCACTTCCACTTTAAGGGTTAGTTCACCCAAAAATTTAAATGCTGTCATTAATTACTCACCCTCGTGTTGTTCGAAATCCGTAAGACCTTTGTTCATCTTCGGAACACAATTTAAGATATTTTTGATGAAATATGAGGGCTCTCTGACTTCACAGAGAGAGGTCAGAGAGCGTGTGGCGGCGCCGGTGCTGAGCCAGATCCGGTGTAATGACGTCATCACGCCGAATCTGGGTCAGCGCCAGCGCCGCCACACGCTCGCGTCATGATACTGTCGTGAACGCGCGTCCAAATTGACGCAGTAGAGACGAAAATGTGGAATAAAGTCGTTATTTTTGTTTTCTTTGCGCAAAAACTTATTCTCGTATGCTTCGTAACTTTACAGTTGAACCACTGATGTCACACGGACTACTTTATCATCTTGGTACTTTTCTGGACCTTGAACGTGGTAGTTACCTTGCTGGGAGGATCAGAAAGCCCTCAGATTTAATCAAAACTATCTTAAATTGTGTTCCGAAGATGAACGAAGGTCTTACGGGATTGGAACAACACGAGGGTGAGCAATTAATGACAGAATTTTAGGGTGAACTAACCCTTTAAAGGGATAGTCCACTCTAAAATGAAAATTCAAATCATAATTTTCTCACCCTCACATCATTCTAAATCTGTTTGACTGTCCTGCTTCTGTGGAACCCAAACAAAGATTTTTTTTTTTCTGAAAAATGTCTGAGAAATTTTTTTTGTCCATAGAATAGGAGTCATTGGGCTCCAATGTTGTTTGGTTCTCAACCTTCAAAATATCTTCTTTTGTGTTTTAGGTGAACTATCCAAATATACAATTTGTACAAGAGGCCTCTACAATCTATAGAGTGCAACAGTGCATGCTCACTTTTTCAGTAAAGTTGGTTCAGGAGATATTTGTCATACATTTTTTTCCCATAGGAATTATTTTTTTTAATCTATCGGATTTAAAAAAAAAAATCTATCTATCCATCTATCTATATACAGGTGCATCTCAATAAATTAGAATGTCGTGGAAAAGTTCATTTATTTCAGTAATTCAACTCAAATTGTGAAACTCGTGTATTAAATCAATTCAATGCACACAGACTGAAGTAGTTTAAGTCTTTGGTTCTTTTAATTGTGATGATTTTGGCTCACATTTAACAAAACCCACCAATTCACTATCTCAACAAATTAGAATACTTCATAAGACCAATAAAAAAAACATTTTTAGT